ACTAGCCATGTGGAACACATGACATGTAGCTAGTTTGGGCTGGAGGACATGGATTTTTCAATTTGATTTCATTTTAATTTTAACATCAGTAGCCACATGGGTCCTGTCTAATGGACAGCGTTGGACGATGCTCAGGTGGACACAAGTTGAGAGTCAGAAAAGAACATTGTAGGTTAGAAGAAGAAGGGAAGATGGTTGGAGGCAGGGAGGCATGTGCTAGGCTGGACCACCAAGATTTGCTCATAAAGTCTTGAGTGCTTTATGAAGCACACAGCTCCCATGGGGAATTGAGGTGACTCAGATAGATTTGCAGACGTTCGGTAAGTATTAGTGTCAAAGTGGACCTGGGAAGACAATAAGGAACTAGTAAGACATGTCACCTGGGTCATGTTAGGCAAATACCACACTCAGATCCAAGGCTTTCCCGTGGAATGGGTGCTCTAGGAAGGTTCAGCTGGAGTAGGCCGCCTGAGGGGTGGGACAGGAGAAAAGACTCCAAGGCAGGCCACAGGTATTCCAGGCAGATTCTATCTGGGCCAAAGCAGAGTCACATAGCTGGTGACCTGGCTGGAGGTGGCTTTCTGGAAAGAATCGACATGGTCTAGTGACTAGATGGTGAAGGATATGTGAGTGAGGAATACCTGATCGAGCCCCTTTGCCAATTCCAATCTAGATTTGGGGATACATCAGTGAAGAAGAGATACATCCTCACCTGCAGGAGCTACAGTCTAGTGAGAGAGACTTTTTGTGCTGAAAAGTGGGGGTACTGTGGAATTAGAGGGCAGATACAGGCAAACTCTGGTGACATAGAGATCAGATCAATGTGTAAACGAGGCTGAGAAGGCCAACCAGGTGGACACACAGACACAAGCATGCAGCACACCCTATTACCGCTCATTTTTCAACCTTTTTTGAAGGTTAAACTTCAAACCAATAATTTCGGCCATCCTAACCCACTTCCTGTGCATTGCCCTTGTTCTTAGGTGGCTTGTTGGGAAGGCCTCCTTCATGGCATGTCAGACAGTTCATTGGTGTCCACCTCATCTAAAGCACTCAGGTTGCTCTGTGATTCTACAACCTCTCTGCTCCTCTCTGATCTTGGGCAGACCTTTCACATGGCAACAAGGGTTTTGGTGATCTGAAATCAGCATATCCCTTTATTCCTACACCTGCTTTTCCACCCAACACAGAGTGTGTGTGTAACCTGGAATTGCCTTGCACTTGGTCATGATTATATTTTACTTTGGAGTGCTTTCTTTTTTAGAGTGCCACTGCTGCTCTTCCCTGCCTGCTCCCCTCACGTACTTCTGTAAATCCCAGTGGGAATGCTACTTCTCCCAGTAAATCTTTCTCTGGGCCTGATCCCAGGCTTATAGAAGCTCAGAAGTTTGGAAATGTCCATCTCTGGGGCATCTTTCACGTGTCTTGCCCATGGTAGGTGAATGTGAGGAACCAATTGATGCCTGGAACATAGGCTAAAATGGGAAGCTGGCATGGCATAGATACCGTAAGTTAACAAAGCACACAGGAAATAATAAAAAACTCAAACTGTAGATTAATGTTGGTTAGAAATGAAGCTGTGATAATCTTAAACAAAATACTAGAACCTCAAATTTAACAGCATTCACGAATAATCAATCATGCTCACGCCTGGTCCTAGTTACTTGGGAAGCAGAGACCAGGAAGATTGAGGTTTGAGGCCAGCCCAAGCAAATAGTTCTTATCGGACCCCATCTCAAAAATACCCAACACAAAAAAGGGCCGAAGGTGTGGCTCAAGTGGTAGAGCGTCTGCCTAGTAAGGCCCAGAGTTCAAACCCCAGTACCACAAAAAAAAAAAAAAAAGATCTTGAGTGGATAGTGCTTATGCCAGGATTAAATCAATTAATATGTCATATCTCTTGAACAAAAGAGAGAAACCCTGTCACCAAAGCTGCTCAGTATGTACGTAGTCTGCAGTGTCATACCCTGGTGCTCACAGTGTCATGACAAAGCAGGGAAAGACTGGCACTTCTAGATCAAGGGAAAGAATATCCTTTACAAACCAATAGACAGTAGCAAACTTTGTGGTGAAGATGTGAAGCGTTCTGTTCAAACCAGCAACAGGGCTGGGAATGGAGCTCAGTGATAGGGCACATGCAAAGCCCTGGGTTCGATCCCCAGCACTGCAAAAAAAAAAAAAAAACCCAAAAAACAAAAACCCACCAGCAACAAATAAAAGATGTGGGCTCTCATGACTAATAAAGTTGTTAAGATGAAACCAGTGAATGCTCTGGGGAGAGCAAATCCAAACCACCTGCTGGGAAATCAGTTAGGCGTTGTTTCACAAACCATTGCAAACCCTCACCCTCTGATAGACATTGGCTCAGAAATTCTCCTAAGGAAATATAAAGTGTTGACAGAAATATGGATAAGTACTCATTAGGACATGTCGAAGAGTCAACTGTCAGCAGTCTACTCATTATAACACTTAGAAGAATCCGAAATGACAGCAATGTAGAAACCCTACAAGGACGAGATTGTTAAGACTCTTCTGAGGTATCCCTATTTTGGAATATATCTTGACAATGCTCTTGTGTTGAATTAGAATGATACAAATTGCATTTAAATATTCCTCAACTGTCTATAAAAATCTCCTGTTTCTTTTTTTTTAAATAATCAAAATTATATGCAACTTATCCTATTTATTTATTTTGTAGTGCTGAGGATGGAACCCAGGGCCTTGCATGTGCTGGGCAAGCACTCTACTGCTGAGCTGCAGTCTCAGCTTCTTCTTCTTCTTCTTTTTTTTTTTTTTTGGCAGTACTGGGATTTGAATTTAGGACTTTGCACCATACCTCCAGTCCTCTCCACTGCTTCTTGGTGGAAGGATTAGAAGTCTCTTTTGCTAAGACTCTCAGAATCTTTTCTGCTTAAGTTTTGGAATGTTTGAAATGGGGAAACCTCCATAATTGTATCCTTTCCTCTCAAATCTCCACCACTATAGTCCCCTCTCAAAACTTAAGATAGTTGTGTTTTCTGACTACTCCAAATAAGGAAGTGTAGAGTGGCTTATGAAAATCAACTCAGGATTAAATTTTTTTTTCTGTTTTAATCGAAAAATGTTCATTTTTTTTTTCTTGGCAGTATTGAGGTTTGAACTCAGAGTTTCATGCTTGCTAGGCAGGTGTTCTACCATTGAGCCACTCCACCTGCCCTAGGGTCTCCCTTTTGGCCTGGGGTGGCCTTGAACCATGATCCTTCCTATCTCAGCCTCCCAAGTAGCTAGGATTACAGGAGTGTGCCCCTGGTACCCAGCTCATTATTCTTTCTGATAGGACACAGAATCCATATGGTTTAGAAATCCAGATGTGCAGGAGGGTATCAAATGAAAAGTGGATGTCTCAGCTCTGTCTACATCTGCTCAGCCCTTTCCTAACATGTAACCTCTGGTAGTGAGTATTTGAAATACTTTGTTTTGGGTGGTTTGGGGCTTGAACTCAGGGCTTCAAGCTTCCTAGGCACTTTACCACTTAAGCTGCTCTGGCAGCCTTTTTTTTTTTTAGATAGAGTTTCTCTGTGTAGCTCAGGCTGACCTCAATTCTTGGTCCCCTGTCCCCTGCCTCAGTTTCCTGAGTGCTGGATTACAGGTGCAATTTTAACACATCTAAGGCAAATTTGAATATACGTCCTTCCCCTTCCCTTCAACTCATTATCACCTACTCATCTTGGACCTAGTGCAATTTGGCTAGCCTGGCCCTACCTTGTTAGAGATCCTTTCACTAACCTGGCCTTCCCACTCTGTGAGATTGAACTCCTCAAAGATGAACTTGGCTCTGTCAGCCTGTGCACAGGCTCCCTTTCTGTCAGACAGCCAACTCCATCCTCTGGGCAGACTGGGTATGTGGGGTAGGGGCATGTGCTGTGCTGGCCCTACCCTCGGGTCTTGAAGCTACTGGGGAAATGACAGCAGCCGGACTTGACTGACACAGCCAGTGAACATATTGGGGTTCATTCAGTTAAAAAAGGCCCTGGAGTCACTGTTCTTTGCAGGCAATGGTTTTCAGCTCAGGGCAGGGTAAAATATCACAGCGTCTTTGGGAGCGCTTGTAGAGTTGAAAAACATTATTACTGTTTTCTACATTTCCAAGTGGAAATGTTCCCGTAGCTTTCTGAGAAGCAAAGTATGACAATTTTGAGTTAAACATGAATCATTGAAGAGCGTCATTGAAAATGTTGTTTCTAGAACCGCAGTGTTAGGCTGGCCATCCACTCCACAGTGAGCAGACACCTCTTGGCCTTCTGTTCCTTCTGTTCCCTCAAGGGTCATTCATTCAAAAGCACGGAGAATGCTGGGAAATGACCTACAGACAAGTGTCTGCTTGTGAAGTGTGATCCGCACTGCCACTGAACAGTGTGCCGCAAGAGTTGACATTGGAAATGACCTTGTTGAGGGACAGCAAGGAACAGTCACTCTGTTGGAAAAGGAACGAGGGACTGGCTCTTGGGTAAGAGCACAGGGCTCTTCTGGGCCTTGTTAAAAAAAAAAAACAAACCCCTTTGTTTATTTATTTATTTTTGCAGTGCTGGTGATCCAATCCAGGGATTTGGGTATGCCAGTGAGCCCCATCCCCAGCCCAACTTTTTTTTTTAATCTTAAAATTAGATGAATTAGATTAAGGTTACTTTTAAATCTACTAAGTCAAACAAGGGGAGACATAGCCAAGAACATTTTTATTAATAATAATTGGATCTTGCAGCTAGATTGGTATCATTGCAAAGAATTCAATCAGCTGTTGTGATTCTGCATAGGACAGAATCCCAGGTGCTTCTCTGTCCGGGCTCAGGACGCTGTTTTATTCGCTCCATCACTGGGATATCTTTTTTACTAGCACTTGGAATTCTTCAAAACTGACTTCTCCATCTCCATTCTTGTCCAGTTCTTTAAAGAGGTCGTCTAGGCTGCTGGGACCCTGGTTTTAAACAAAAAGGATGGAGGAGGGGAGAAAAAGTGACATCGAATAGTCCTGCATATCCCTGAAATGAGGGCTCTTCAATTTGAGAAGGCAGTGTGAGTTTCCAGTCATGCTACTGATGACTATGGGAAAAAGTTGGAGTATTGGCCCAGCCACAGAAATGGCTGCTTTCTCTTTTTCTTTTGTTTGGTGCTACTAGGGTTTGAACTTAGGGCCTTTGCCCTTGCTAGGCAGGTACTCTACCACTTGAGCACCCTCTTTTTTTCTTTCTTTCTTTCTTTTTTTTTTAGCACTCCATCACACATATATTATTTAATGTTGATAATGTGTATTTTGATAAATTTTTTATGTGATCATATGTCCTTTTTTTTTTTTTGGTACTGGGGTGTCTTTTTCTTTATGTCTCTGAAAACATTCTTCAGAGAAGGAGTTCATGGGCTTCCCAGACTACCCACAGCCCACAAATAGTTGAAGACTCCTAGATTTTTCTGGGAGCTGATTTTGTCTCTTGCTCCAGGCTTGGAACCAGCATAGAAGGAGAGGCAAGTAGCAGTGAGGGCCAGGCCTTCAGGGTAGCCTGTGTCCTCCTTCCAGCCACCCTGTAGGGGAGATCCACTTTATAAGTGAGGCAGCTGAGGCCAGAGATAGCTGGTGACTTGCTTCAGGATGCACAGTTGGTTAGCAGAGGACTTGAGGGTCAGACCTGGTCTCTACAGCTCAGCCCAGTAACTGGCCACCGTCCTGGATTTTCCCATCTCCTGGCTATGGCACACCTCTGGGTTATCAAGATGACTTTGGATCCCTAGAGGCCATGCTTTAGCGTATGTCACAATCACCCCATGGGCTTGCTGACCTTGGTAAACACAGATGACCAGCCCCACCCCAGAGCTACCGACTCACTAGGCAGGGGCTGGGTCCGAGAATCTGTGTTTCCAGCGGGTTCCCAGCTGGTACTGCTGCTGCTGGTGCAGGACCAGGCTTGAGACCAGTGCCCAGATGTCACCATGATCATAGTCAGGCATTTCGACTACCTGTATTCCTTTAGTGTCTTTAAACACATTTCATTTTTTTTTGTCTGCTGTAAAACTCAAATCTTAAAGCTATTACTACTTAGATTTTTGAGGTATTAGTTTATCTGTGGCAAAATAGAATTTAGGAAATCTGTTGAAATAACGATTTAGCTTATGTCTACTTCAAATTCGACTGGCTATCAATCGATCTCTGTCTACATATACATAAAATTTGGTTAAAAAACATAGCATTTGCCGGGTGTGGTAGTGTACATCTATAATCCCAGCACTCAGGAGTTTGAGACAGGAGAACTGAGAGTTCAAGGACAGCCTGGGCTACATAGTGAATTTCAGGTTAACTTGGACTATGAAGGAGACCTTGTCTCAAAACAACAACAATAGCAAACAAACAAATATATACCATTTTAACCATTTTTTTTTTGGTGAGACTGGGATTTAAATTCAGGGCCTTATGTTTATTAGGCAAGCATACCTTAACCATTTTTAAGTGACAGTTTAGCAGTGCTAAGTATGTTTGCTTTATTATGCAACAGAACTGTACAGGCTAAATAAATATAAATACATATATATACACACACATATGTGTGTATATGTATTTGGCAGTACTGGGGTTTGAACTCAGGACTTCAGCCTTGAGAGACAGGTACTCTACCACTTGAGCCTCACTGTCAGTTTCCAGGCAAGATACATTTTAACCCTTAAGATTCTACAACACTGAGCCCTTCGGGGGATCACAAGACCAAACTTATTCAGCGTGTGTTTTATAAATACAAAGTCCTTTTCTGAAGGTAGCTGTAAGCCATATGAGGTGATGATATGAACAATGTAGCTGGAAAGCCTTGGTAGTCCTTATGAAAAGCTAATCAGCTACCTGCAGGGAGGCTTTCAAAACTTACCATTAGTCTTTGTACTTTTTTTTTTTTCCAAATTAGAAGTCTTACATAGCTGGAATCAGAATTGAGTTCAATGTGCACCCCACTGCAAAACCCTGGCCTCGTGGTCCCTGTACCTATCAGCCCTGCATGTTTGCCTTATTATCTTTAACAAGTCCCATAGATATTTTTCTCTAACAAAGAATACCAGAGCAAAACTAGCATTTCTCTACTCTCTGTTGCCTCTAGGTGCATTTTGATTTTGCCAAGTGTGAGATGGTTTTGACAGGAAACATGGCCAAAGAAATTTAATCCTTTCCTGAAAGTTGTTTGGTTGCATGAGGTTGTCCCATTAATACAAATTGAAATGCATTTGAAATAGAAGGCAAATTGTCAGCGTGAAGCTGGTTTTCTTACCACACTCCCAGGAAGTCTTATCATCAAGAGATCTGTGTAACTGTCCAGGGCCTGCTGACAGTATTTTATAGTCCTGTTTGTATTCCTAAAGCTAGTCACAGAGGACTGCTGAATTCAGGCTGAAGGCCTTGGGTGGATTTGCCTGGTGATTTGCAGGCATAGCTTGGCCAACGTATGTAATCACTGCTAACATTTGCTGTGGCTAGCCCTGGAGAGTTCTCTGCTGAGGCTGCAGAAGGGATGGAAGGCTGGGTTCCTGCTTTCTGGGAGTGTGCCTGAAGGAAGCCCACATTCGCATTCATGTGCCCTCCCTCTGGGGACGCCCCGGGCTCTGGTCAGCATTTCAGGGGCAGCTCTGAGCATCCCCTACAAGGCTCTTCTCTGGTCTCCCCTCCCACCATCAGAGACCGGGCCTACTCACCTTGAGGAGATTGGGGAATTCAGCCTGAATCAATAGCTTCAGCTCGGCCTTTGACAGCTGGTCTGGGTCACCTTCTTTGGCTGCATATTTTGTGAAGATGCTCTTCAGTTCTTCCGGAGACTTTCCAGCACTCATTTTGATGTCCTGTAAATTGGAAGGAAAATGAACTTATTAAGACGCTCACGTGGAGTTTTGTGCTGCTTAGATTGTCAATAGCACTTTGGTGCCGTTAGGCCTTTTTCTTGCCAAAGATGGAGGAGAATAAGGAAAGGGGAGGGGAAGAAAACAGAGGATCACTGTGGGAACCACATTAATAATTACCAACATGTTTTAAAGACAACCATTTAAGGGCTGGGGGTGTAGCACAGGGGTAGAGCATTTGCATAGCATGCACAAGGCCCTGGGTTCAATCCCCAGCAACACACACACACTCTCATCTTAGGTAGTATGTTAAATGTCTGTTCTTATAGTCCATCTATTAGGAGCTCGTCCCTGGAGACGAATATTTTTTATTAGTAATTAATAACATTCCCTTTTCTTGTATATGATCTGTGCTCTGTGGGCTCCAGTCTTGAAGACTATCTCACTGTAGCTGCTAGCCTGTAAGTTTCTGGTAATATGTTTAGGTAGCACAGACCCACTGTCTGCCCAGATCATTAGTTTTCACACCCATTCTAAAAGGAAGCAAAGCAGTACCACAAGCAGAAGGATCTGTCAAGTCATTAAAGAGCACACTGACCTGGTCACCCGACTGTGCAGCCACTAGAAGAATCAAGCAGGCGTGTATGAAGAGCTGAGAAGGACCGTGCGACTTTTATAGTCTTTACAGACACACCACCCTGATTATGAAATTTTCCTTGTTTGTCACTTAAGGGTAATTATTAATGGTTTTTGAAACCCAAGCTTAAGGAACTCATGAACCTCTTAATTAAGGGCAAGATCCAATGAAGAGGCCACCTCAATAGTTGCTTAATGGTCCAGAGTCCCAAGAGGAAGCCTGGACTTTTTTCTCCCTTAGGTTATATTTCCCTCCAATATGAAATTATGCTGTTTGCTTGCAGTTCAAGTTTTAGAAAGCTTAAATATGAAGGTCTGTTTTCAGAGCAGTTGCCTATTTAGGCTTGAAAAAAAAATCACTTCCTATCCAGAAAAAAAAAATGCTGTCACAGAAGGACAGATTGTATGATTTTAAAAGGTACCAGACTGCTGTTTTGCGCCTACCAGGTGCTTAAATATGTGCACACGTGAGTGAATGCAGGCAAGTGAGGGTTCAGAAGCAGGTTTAAGAAATGTGGAAAAAAAGCCCCACAATAATTTGTGGTTTTATTTGGCAAAGCAAAACTATCAAATAACAGAGTCATTTTTCAGCTTTTTCATTATTCGCTGTTTCCATATCTGCTTTTTATTTCTCATTATCTTTTTCCTTACCTGCTATATTTTGTTAATCATTCTAAAAACTTGTGAAAACACTTGACTTACTCTAAGACAATTAGAAATACTCCCAACTTTTTGCCAGGATTTAAAATTGGAGACACAATTGATTTCTACTGCAAAGCATTCCATGAAATAACTAGGACATTTCCAGGGGATATTGATCTAATGCTGATTGTAACTCACAGGAAGAGGTTCCAGATTGACTTCAAAGGCACTTAACACCTTTTAAATATTTGTATGCTTCCATAGTTGTGTGATTTCCTCTGGCCTGCACTGTGTCTCCTACAAATTCAGACTTGAAATACCACATAGTATTTCTCCTGGATGTTTTTCAGTCCTAAAGTTCTTTATTTCCATTGGAGAACAAATGTGGAATCTTTATCTTTTAAAATTTAATTTGATAAAGATACCATCTTTATCATGGTATTGGGGTTTGAACTCAGGGCCTCATACTTGCTACGCAGACGCTCTAGCAAGCCACTCCACCAGCCCCAAATGTGAAATCTATAGAGTTCCTTAAAAGCTTCCCACCAATCCTGAGCACTTACCTTTCCATCTGTCTTCACTGTCTTTTAAGTGTTCTTATGGCTTTTATTACAGTTTATTTCACTCTGGCATGCACCAATATAAGATTTATATTAACTTACTGGCTGTAGTTAAGACAGGCATTGTGGTTTTTATTTTAAGATTTTACACGAATATTCTAATTTGGGCAATACCTTTGATTAAAAAAATCATTCTATCAGTATATATTAATTGCATAAAGGGTTTCACCATGGTATTTCACAGCATTTGCTGTACTTTGATCAGATTAACCCTCACCATTGCTCCTTCTTTTCCCCTCTCCCCGTTTTTAAAACAATTTTTAGTGGGTTTCATTATACCATCTTCATACATAGACACCATGTGCTAAGATATTATCCCCCCATCGTTCTCTTTCCCTCTCCCCCCTCCAACTTGCCTCCCCCCAACAGTTCCACAGTTACATTTGGGTTATATGTGTGTGTGTGTGTGTGTGTGTGTGTGCGTGCGTGTGTAGATTCTGCAGATGTAGGTTCTGTTCTCCTGGGAGGAAGGAGGCGTTTGTGAAAACTGTAACAAAAACCATCTTTTTTCCCCAAGAGCTTAACAAATTTCAAGTTTACAGAAAAGTGGCAAGAATAGTGCATTGAACAAATGACCTCTAACTAGGTTCATTAATTGGTAACATTTTCACATTTGTGTCTTCTTTCTCTGGAACAATACTTTCCCCCTGAGCCATTTGGGGATAAGTTGTGTACATCCACTGGCTTCGCCCGATCACCTCAGCATGCTTCTTCCAGGGGCAAGGACATTGGCCTACATAGCCACAATGCTGTTAGCACAGCCCACATTCAACCTGCACAATTTTTGGAATAGCACCTTTAATCATCTGTTCTCCCAGAAGATCACTTGTGAGTTAAAATTATGGGGTGGCTGTTATATTTCTTATGTCTATATTAAAGAAGTTAACATGTCATACAGTGTATTTGGCCTGAGTATATTTATAAAATACATACATACATTTAAGAAGCACTTTTGTAGCAATGTTGACTAACAGTCCTTTCATTTCAGGGGAAGACCTCTCACTAAAAGTGGTCGGGCACTGGTGGCTCACACCTGTAATTCTAGCTATTTGGGAGGCTGAAATTGGGAGGATCATGGTTCAAGGCCAGCCCAGGCAAATAGTTCCCAAGACCCCATCTCTAAAATAACCAAAGCAAAATGGACTGGAGCTGTGGCTCAAGTGATAGAGTGCCTGCTTTGCAAGCGCAAAGCAGTGACTTCAAACTCTAGTCCCACCAAAAAAAATGTTTTAAAAAGCGTGTGCGGGGGGGCGGGGGGGCAGCCAGTGGTGCTTGTCAGAAGTTAGGCTTGTAGCAAATGCTACTTGAAAAAACAACCCTTGGGTCTTCCCAGAGTTTTGCTTGCTCATCTCCTCCAGTGACCTGCTTTTTTTCTCATAGACTTGAAAGCATGAGGGTAAACCTGCAGCCAGAAACACAAAATCCACTAATAGATACTCTCATGAAACATTAACTAAAAATATCTGGAGACAAGCGATAAATGTAGGGTGTGTTCACAGATTGCCTTTGGAAACAAGGGGGGAAAAAGTGACAGGTACAAGACTGGTCATGGAAAAATGGAGAGGCAAAGGTTATTCATCACCTTGCTCTTTGATTGCTTGATCTTTGGACAGACTTCTTTTTTTTTTCCCTCAAGAAAACTGAGAGTAACTTATTTTAAAAGCTCTGGACACTACAGGCTTCTGTGACTATGTTACTCTGCTCAAAGTCAACAGCACGGAGTGCCTGAAAAAATCCCGTTGGGATAGGGTTTGGTGTTCACGAATGTACTCAGGCATGGCCAAGCAAAATGGCTGTGAGAGGCTGTGTTCTTGTTATCTTTGATCTTAGAGTTTAAAAGAGCCCCTAAGTACCAGATTGCAGTTATCCCTAAAGGGGATAGCTTACCTGGCCCCTTAGCTGGCCCTTACCTGGTGCCTGCCCTCCCAGGATGCTCAGCCTCGGGCAGAGTTCACTTTCCTTTCTGCTTTGTAGCCTGTGTCTGGGCTGTGAATCTTGCTATCTTTGGGCTGCCTCCCTGCTTGAGGTCCCAGAGGGCCTCTGATCATAGCCAGTGCTTACTGAGGCTTCATTTTTACCACAGGCACTGTATTGCCCTGGGTACCTGACTCATTACCTAAAATCCTTGCAGCAGTACTATGAACGGTTATCTTAGGACTGTATTAGAGTTCTACTGCTGCTATAACAAATTAGCACAAACATGGTGGCTCGAAACAACACAAATGGATTCTCTTTCAGTTCTGGAAGTCAAAAGAAGGTTGGCAGGGCTGTGTTCCTTCTGGAAGTTCTAGGGGAAAATTGGTTTGCTGGGGTTTTTTTTTCTTTTTTTTTTTTAAGTTTCTAGAAGTTGCTTATTCCCGGCTTTGTCTTCCATCTTCAAAGCTAGCAGTGTGGCATCTTCCAGTCACTCTCTGTGATCTCTGCTTCGTCATCATGTCTCCTGCATTGATTTTTACACCCTTTTGCCTGCCTCTTTTCAGGACCCCCACATGGGTACACTGGGCTCACCCTCATAACCCAGGATGATCTTCTATGGAGAGGGTGGTTTCCACATGTTCAGCCTCTCCCTCCGTTTCTCTCTCTCATGTGATGCCTTCTGTCATGTTATGACATAGCAAGAAGGTCCCAAAGACCTTAACTTAATCTCATTTGTAAAGTCTTTTGCCAGGTAAGGTGTTGCAGAGCTTCTTAGGGAAGCTCTTTGGAGGGGCGTTATTCAGCCTCCTTCAAAGAGGAACTGAAAATGAAGTAACAATGTGTACGTTATTTATTTGGTAGAGTGAGCATAGCAGTGGTGTTCATTGTGGGGCAGTAAGGAGAACAGGAGGATGTCCCCAAAGCATGAACTTGTGTCATATGGCAGGGAGAGGGAGGCAGTCGGTGTGCTGGGGAAGTGAGAGGGGAGTTGGGGAGCCCTCAGCATTGGACCCCTGTAGCTGAGGTAGAAAGCACAGGTTAGAAGCCATGACGAGGGCCCAGCTAGACTGGGCTTGTGCAGTGGGTGAGATCTGAGTGCTACCCAGGAGAGTTTCATTTGATCTGCAGTGACAGAGGCTTCTGGGGCCTCAGCGTACCACTGATTAAAGCTGGTTTGTACTGTGTGGATGACTTGAACTTGACTCATAAAAACCCAAATCAGAATAAGGCCTGAAAAAGAATATTGACTAGAAAAACCTAACGGACAGTAGGGAAGGAACGAGTCAGGGAATCTTTGTAAAGAATACTTGAAAGGATACTAGAAAATCTGAGCAAATAACTGTGTTTGTTGCCTCAGAGACTGAAGATGGTTGCTGGTGGTTGACTTTCCCGTTGTCCCCAGGTGAAATACCCAAAGGCAAGGGTCAGGTAGGCTCCATACATGCTGCCATTAGGAAATTCACCATTGATAAGAGAAGCTAACTTCCTTTCACTTTGCTGTTTAGGGCACCCGGATAAAGGACTTGAACCCATTACACTTTTATCATGGGTTGCAGAAAACACCAGTAAAGGTTAATTAGTGCCATAGTTATCCTTATGTGGTGTTTTATATCTCCTAACACTTTATTACTCACTGACCCTTTTGATTTTTCTTATGCTATATGGCTCAGTTCCAAGAAAGGACAGATCTGGGGATCAGATGACAGCCGGTATTTTGGTCAAATTAGAGGGGCCAAGGTAATTGTTTTACAATGGAAGCAGCATTTTCCTTCTAGATGCAAAATCTAGGGTTTTGTGGAAATGTTGAGACTAAAACCAAAGCCTACCTGAGGTTCTTTGACCAACTGGCAGTGATAAAATAGGTGTGTTTTGAAACCGTGGTGTTCTTCTGTCTCTCAGGCTTTTTGTGGAAGAAATGCAAAGAACAAAGATGTTTTGGTACTTTTTTGTTGCTGAATCAGGCTGTTTACAATCTAAGAGGCCATCAGCTGCCAGCTTTTGTTGTCTGGTAGTTCTACGAGGTAGCTGGTTGTGCCAGGCTTGGGCAGAAAGGCATGGTGTTCTCTGTCCACCTTGCCCCAGCCTTCCTCTTTCAGAGCAGATTCCCCCAGGCTTGTGCCCAACCTATGTCATTCTTTGTGGGCTTTGGGTGTCCTGGATGAGGCCTCCTAAGCTAGGCTCAGAGTCTCCTGTTCCATCTCTCCCTGGTGACTTTCCTGCTAGCTCCCCACTGCTTTCCTCCTTTCATTGCTGCTTGGGCATCGTTTGGAGTTGGAGACTGCTTTCCTCTCCTCCCTCACCTGTTCTCCAACACCTCCCTTCTCACTGCTTCCTGTGTCAGAACATTTTAATCAGAGAGAGGATTGCTGTGGCTCCTACACCTTGGGATTTCTCTTTGTGCTGTCATTTCAGGACAAAGTCATATTTATGACTTTTTTAAGCACACCATGGGTAATGTGAACTAATACCTTGTGTAAGGCCTTAATAACACAGTTCACTCTTTGTGCCTTAAACTTTTATTTTCATTAAAATAATATTATGAGCTGGGTGTCAGTGGCTCACGCCTGTAATCCTAGCTTCTCAGGAGGAGAGATCAGGAGGATCAAGGTTTGAAGCCAGCCCGGTCAAATAGCTCGCAAAATCCTATTTCAAAAATACCCAACACAAGACAGGGCTGGCCAAGTGGCTCAAGTTGGTAGAGCACCTGCCTAGCATGCATAAAGCCCTGAGTTCAAACACTAGTGTAACACACACACACACACACACACACACACACACACACACACACACACTATGGACAAAGCCTAGAGTTCCAAAAGTAAGGAAAAAGTCTGGAATCTTCACCACCTTCTCTGCTACTCTCAACTCTTCGAGCTGTTTCACCTGGTTATTACCTTCATGTTTCTAAATAACGTCACATTGATCTTTCAGGAAATTTCAAATATTCCCTGTGTTGAAGGAGTGATCTAATGACCTTAGGCAGCCCTTATGCCCGCTGTGCTGTCTTCTCTCCCCCCATCCCAACACTTCAGTTTTGGAAGTGTTTCCTGATCTGCAGGTGTTTGCCAACTTCACCCCCAAAGAAGCAGGAAGGTGGTTTACCCATTCTTAGCTGGATAATTTTACTTTCTTTTCAATGGTTCAGACCAGAACATTTCCCGAATACCAAAGTCGCCAATAACTGAGCAGATTACATTCAAAGACTCTTTCTGGGTAGTTGGATCCAACACAGTAAGTAATGTTGGAGAATCACAGTATAATTTTAACAAGAAACTGGGCAAATTTATTGCCATGGTCTGCTTAGACAGTTCAGGTTGTCTGAACTTAAATGGAAGTTAATAGACATCGAGACTCCGAATACCCTTAGGGCTTCTTAGGAACTGTGGCAGGTGGTGTGGGCTTATCTGCCCTTTCCTGGAAAATACATACATAAGCAGCTCAGCTTCAGAAACTGGAAGCTACTGTCCTCTCTCACCTCACTCCAGTAATACTTAATCCAGCCATAATTAGCCAACCAAAAAATGGTAGAGAAGGCCACCAGCAGTTCAGAATTGAGCACGTTAGTCAATGAAGAATGTAACCCAGCTTTTTCTCCATGCTTCCTCTCAGTGACTTTTGGAGCTTGCTTGGATCACAGGGTTCAAATGACTCGAAAAGTTCTAGGACACCGATAAGATCAGACATTTTCTTAGAAATTCTGCAGCAAATTGCAGTTGTCAAGGGTTTCTGTAGAGCAGTCTGTGGCATTTAGGTTGGTGGGGTGGTGGAGAGAAAGGAAGTTTCTGAGAGAGAAACTTGAGCATTCCATTAGAACAGGTTGACTCACCCAGCTGTAATCGGTTCTAAAAAAAAATCAAAAAAAGCCATGAGATCATAGTGGACAGAAAAAAGATGAATTACCAGACTAATGAGAATGGATTTTTCATAGAAGTCACTTGTTTCTGAATAAATCTGAAATTGTTTAGTCTGAGTTTGCTCATTTATTCCTTCATGCAATCATGCCTTCGTTCAGTGCATTGTATAAAGCAGATCCAAGTATACCAGGGACTGGGGATGCACAGGGAAGAAAAAGCAGTACTATCCCAGTCTTGTACAAAAACACACACCAGACACAAACTGAGAGAAGGCAGAGACGGGGAGACCTGTGTCCTGTGAGGCCACAGAGAGGGTCCTGATTAGGCTTTGCACTCCTTGGTATTGGGTAGTTGACTTGACATGTCAGGGTTCAGCATTTAGGACAAGAGGTTCTGGGGGGAGGTGTAAATTAACAGGACTTGGCAGATCAGATATGAAGGAGAGGGAGAATCAAGGGTGACTTAGATTGCTGATCCACAGAATGTGCTAGAATGGATATTGGTGTTTTTTTGTTGTTTAAAGGAATCCTTTTTTAAAAAGGAATGGGTTTATATAAATGGTTTCTTTGGTACACCTTTCTACAAGGACTGACATATTTGCTTGTGGAAAGTCTTTGGAGAATACTAGAGGGTCATCCTGGGAGAGACATGAATACCAAAGTAGGAGGCCTCTGACGTCCAGAACTTGAAGTGCTTGGAACTGACAGTTGGAGTAATGACAGGAGGAAGGTCATAAAGACACAAGACACTCCTGATAGGTTTTTTTTTTTAAACCAGTGATTTGAATGAAAGATGAGAGGCAAAGATGAAAGGGAAGCCCACGGTGAGGGGCGTAGGAAGATGGCTGCTTTTGAACAGGAATGTTGGAAGAATGGTCAGACATTCCACTTCCGGGAATACGCTAATTGTATGACCAGCCTTCTAAAAGTAGAGCTTGAAATTTGGGAAGTTGCATTTTTTTTTACACGATGGTAAAACCAAACCTGTTTTGTTTTTTAAGGTGATCGATATGCCGGAACACAACCCTGGCAATTTGGGAGGAACGATGAGGCTGGGACTGAGAAGAACTGTTTTCAAAACTGAAAATTCAATATTGAGTAAGTTTCCCGAATCGTTTATTTTATAAGACACTGGTGTCATTCATGTGGCTATGCCAGGACCCAGCCCTCTTGGTGGAGGCTCAGCCCTGACCCTCCCAGAAGTTTCAGGGGCCCTAACTCTTTTTTTCTTTTTCCTTTGGTGGTACTGGGATTTGAAATTAGGGCTTCATGCTTGCTAGGCAGGCATTCTACCACTTGAGCCACTCTGCTACTCCAAGGAGCCCTGACTCTTTCTCTCACCTGTCTCTGGATGGTTCTGTGATGAGTGGGCAGGTCTCAGTGGAACACAAGATGATCTGCACTTGTATTCAGTGGGCTATTTGGTGAGTCACTGATGCTCTTGGAGTTGAACTTGGACTAGAAGAGAAACAGTTCTTTTGAGTCCGTGGTTCTCTCCACTACATTGAAGCAGGCTCTGAATTTCAGATTCCATTGTTTCCTGTCTGACTCATTAATTAACTGCCTGAGGAGGAGGGCAGTTGTGTGTCTCAGAAGTCTGTGTGTCTGTTCTCCCAGTAGCCTCAGCCTGGGGACAGGAAAATACTCCATGACTAGCCATGACTAGCTATCTGATATTCGCTACTTGCGAGAAGGTTAATTCTAATTGCTGTGGAACTCCCTCTCTCATAGATTAGCATATTATATGAGAATACTTTAATGTTGAAAGACCCTAATTTAATTTAATAAGTACATCTTTAGTGCCCACTCCGTGTCCTATGCACCATGTTAGATCTTGCAGCTACGGCAGTGAGCAGGACAGGTACTGGCCCTGCCACCCCAAGACCTCTAAATAAAGGGGGCAGAGTACGGGGAAGGGCAAGGGCTAAAGGGACTGAGTGCAGGGGGGGAGCCCCGGGAACTGGGGCAGCCAGAGTTAGTCCTCTGAAATCCTGAGGATACCTTAGGAGACAAAGGGTGTGAATCAGAGCCCTTGTCTAGTATATGCAAGGGCCTGGCTTCCATCCCCAGCACCACAAAACACAACAAAGTGAAAAATAAAGCAAGTAAGAAAAGGATGCCGCAGGAAAACGCCTTCTCAACTCAAGGGGGAGGAAGACCAGAAATAGGAGCTTCTCCTTTAAGGGACGTAAGGCTTTGCAGCAAGGATGACATTGAAAAGTAAATTCGTTTCCCTCCTTTCTCTGGCTAAGAAGCCATGTTCTCTAAGTGACTAACGTTTTTCTTTACAAACATAAGAATCTTTTTCTCTTCATGGGTGTTAGTGATTCTTTGCTTTTCAGATGTTTTCAAATACTTTGAACTTTGTTCAAGTAGTTGCCTAAGTGACAAGAAAGGCAATAGTGGAAAAAAATTAATGTTTTAAAATTATACGCACTGTAAAAGGTTCAATGATAATTGTACTAGTCTTAGTTCAGTGGAAATAAGACTGATTTAAGATTTACTTTTCTTTACAGCAGATATAAAAATAACATTGGTAATTTTTATGAATGTGAAACATGGCGCCAAAGCTGTGAGTCACCTGTTAGTAGTGTACAATTCATTGGTTTTTATTTTATTCACAGAGTTGCGCAACCATCACCACAGTCAATTCTAGAACATTTTCATCACCTCCAATTAGAAACCATGTACCCTCAAGCTATCACCACTTGCACTCACTCAGCCTCTGGCAGAACTGTCTAAAGATTTGCCTATTGTAGACATTTCATGTAAATGGGACCATATGATACATGGTCTTCTGTGTCTGGCTTTTTAAAATTTTTTTATTTTTTTGCGGTATCGGAGTTTGAGCTCAGGGCCTACACCTTGAGCCACTCCACCAACCCTTTTTTTTATGTGTGTGATGGGTTTTTTTATTGCGATAGAGTCTGGAGAACTCTTTTGCCTGGGGCTGGTTTTGAACTGCCAGCCTCCTGATCTCTGCCTCCTGAGTAGCTAAAATTACAGGTGTGAGCCACTGGTGCCTAGCCTGGCTTTTTAAAATTAGTACAGTGTTTTCAAGATACATCCACATTGTAGCATGTACCAGTACTTCAGTCCTTTTATCAGCCAAGTAGTATTCCACTGTATGACTATACCACACTTTGTTTATCCATCCATCAACTTATGGACATTTGGGTTGTTTTCAGGCAACAGTTTGTTTAATGTGTTTGCCTTAAGCTTAAATTGTGCTTCTTAGATTGCAAAAGGCAAGTGATGTATGAAACGGTGGTCATCAGAAAACATAAGGTTTTGCCTTGCTACTTGTGGGAGACTGGCTTCCACAGGTCTCCAGAAAAGATTGTGTCAAGAGGTAAGAACATGAACCCTGTGCGTGGTTCTATTGTGTGTCATAAAGATATAAAATAAATAGCACCATAGTGTTTTGTGGGCTTTTTCCCCCCTCCTAGTTGGCATATTTCTTCCTTAGGATCTTGTTGTTATTATTTTTTATAAGCTGACATGCTTTGTAGGATCCCACCCAAAGTTGGCACAATTTTGTAGACTTTTTTTCCTGTTAGCAAATTTTTGTCAGGACAGTATGAACAAAATACATTTGGCTACATTGCCTGTAAAAAAGATGAGGTTTTGATAGAAAACATTCTGAGGCTGCTTTTTTAATTTAAATTTGATTTATAGGCCAGTGCTTAGAATGTTCTAGATTAAATGGAAAAACAGGGAAGTAAAGAGTTCTTCAGTAAAAGAGAATGCCTTGAAATGGAACCAAAGCCTGAAGATATTGTTAGACACAATTGCTGGATTACCAGAGCGGTTCTAAGTTTTATATTCAAAGACAATTCCTATTTTTTTTCTTAGTCACTTGTTACTACCTAAAGGGTTATGAAAACTGAATTCACTTTTTCTGAGGTGGAGATTATAGGTATAAATTGATTTGGGCGAAAGTACTGATACTCATCATTTGCTTTGATTATAAGAAATGTGTTTCTGGAAGCTTGCTCCTGTCCTGTGTTCTGTATGTGTGTGTCGTCTTCATCTACAAAAGGCTTTTTAAAAGGGGGACTTTGGGCTGGTGGAGCGGCTCAAATGGTATCGCACCTGCCTTAGCAAGCATGAGGCCCTGAGTTCAAACCCCAGTACCACCAAAAAGGGGGAGAGACTTAAAATAAAAGGGCTAATGATAGTGTGTGTGGAATTGTCAAAGCTGGTTTAAAGGTCTTTAGAGCTGAGGGTACTTGACCCTGGGATCAATCCTCATTAACACACACACACACACACACACACACACACACAACACAGAGGCCTTTAGAAAATAGGTATTTTTTTTAAAAAGAGGCGTATTTTATAAGCAAGCCTTTACCTAAATTTGCATAACTGTGGTCTTTTCTAAACTTTATTATGCTTAGTTTTTATATAGTCTTTTATTGTAGCATAATTTTTTCATATATCTATTCTTCATGTCTATTATTTGAGCATATATTTTTTTAAGACTGGATCTCACTATGTTGCCCAGGCTAATTTCAAATGCCCTGGGCTCCAGTGATCCTCCTGCCTCAGTTTCCCAAGTAGCTGAGACTATAGGTGTGTAGCACTGCACCTGGCCCTGGGTGTATAGTATTTAATTGAGTTCAGGAAGTCTAATCTGCTGACTCATTTCCTATTGATAAGCATTTCAGATTGGTTCTGGCATTTTATTGGAAAAATACTGATTCGAACCTCTTGACAGTTTTTGTTCCTTTGAGTTTCCTAAGGATAGGTTTCCAGGAGCTGGATTATTGGGTGGAAGGGTACGTACACTTTATGACTGGTAATTCTGCCAGCTTGTTTGGAAGGAGGAGTGAGTCATCATAATGACGTTAACTGTGCCTGTGTTCCTGCTTTGCCTAGTTCTCTGCTAGAACTAAACTGTTATTTCCCTTCTTGTTCTGTGAACAGGAACAAAAGGAGCCCTTTATTATTATACTTTATTCTGTGTTTCCTTTCACTGCTACAAAGTGAAACTTTCTTTCCCCCCAATGTTGACTTGCTATGTGAGACTGCCCAGGTCTCAGGTCCTTTCTTAAAATTTTTTGTCTTTCCTTTTTCTTTTTTTTCTGTGATATTGGGGCTTAAACTCAGGGCTTCCTGCTTGCTAGGGAGGCGTTCTACCACTTGAGCGACTCTGCCAGCCCAGACTGGCCTCGAACTCATGATCCTCCTGCCTCTTCACCTCCTTGATTACTGGCATACACCACCACAACCAGCTTAGGGCTTCATTAGCACCTCAATATGGGAAGTGACGGATCCACTTGCTCCAAGACCATTACCTAAATGGTCTACACCAGGGGTCGGTAAACTTCTCCCCTAAAGGGCCAGGTAGTGGACATTTTTGGTCTTACAGCTATTGCTGTGTGAAAGCTGCCATAGACTTATAAGTGAACGAACATAGCTGTGGTCCAATCAGACTTCATGCATGGGCGCCGAGGTTTAATTTCGTGGCATTTTCTGTTGTATGAATGCTTTGAACCATTTGAAATGATAAAAACCATTCTTAACTCAAAGGCTAAAGAAAACCCCACATTTGGCAGTGGGCTGGGCCATCGTTGGCTGAGCCCTGCTCTGCACTAGTGCTGGCATGTGGCAGAGGCGGTGAGGTTACTACCATCTCAGGGAGGGGTGATGACAGCACCCCCGCTTGTCTACTTGCCAGGGTAAATGCCCCATTTAGGGACAAGAAGTTAAACCAAGAGGGCTTCCAGAAGCTGTTCCATTCAACCTCTTTATCTTTTGGCTGAGGAAGGTAGACTGGGGAGAGCTGAAGGGGCACCTGGTTTGTTGGGATAGCTGGAACAGGGACTTGGGACACTGTCCCCATGGTAGTTTCTAGCCTTCTACTGAAACATGCCTCCCTGGTCCCATGTAGTCTCCAAACTATAACGATTTATTTATTTATTGGCAGTACTGGGATTTGAACTCAGGGCCTCATGTTTACTAGGCAGGAGCTCTACCACTTGGGCCACTCCACCAGCCCCTTCAAATTGTAACTCTGAAAACACATACCTTAGAACAGAGTAGAACTTAGACTCATTGAAGGAATGCTCTCCCCTTCTGACTTGTTTATT